TAACCTGCATACTAGGATCTGCAAAAACCTGCAATCACTGCATACGGACTCTCATACATACCAACAATGTATCTACTCCAGTTCACGCTCATGACAACGTTGCAGAAAGAGCTTGAAGGCATAAATTTGAACGCAGGCCTGCGGTTAGGTCTATGTCAGGTGCGCTTTAGATACGAAAACCCGAATTTTTTTCTGCTGCTCACGCTACTAAGCATCTATAAGATAGATGGAGCCCTATCACTTTCAAACCAGTCAAAAAAGTGCGGAATCCTCTACAAAAACACATTCTCGGGAACAAAATACGCATGAAAGCAGTTTTTAAGAGGAAAAAAGCAGATAAGCGTTTCTTATAAAGGTATGACGCAGCTGAACTAAACCCACTGCTTTGACTTTCGACTAGGTTTATGCACAAAAGATTTTGGAAGCTAAGAATCACGTTAGCAGGCAGAAATTTTAGGTGGATCTATAGTTTTGGCCAACTTTCGAGCCTGCTTTTTTCGAAATTTTTAATTTTTTTCCTGAATAATCTGGTGAAAACGGAATCCGCTCCGGTCACTGATGAAAGCCTGTTGAACACACAACTGTACCAAATCTCAGATCAATTCGTTGAGAAGCAGATGAACTACGGCAGTTTTTTATAGTGGATCTATAGTTTTGGCCAGCACTGTATACAGGGTGTCCCAAAAGTAAGTACACTTTTCAATCGTCAATATCTTTCTTCCCAATGGGTCTTTTCTCGCCATTTAAGTACCATTTTGTAGAGGAGGCTTCAGCTTAGATTTACAGTATTGAGCATATCACCGACCGCTCTTCATCACTGTAGGATTACGGTAAGAACTTCCAGCAAGTAGAACTATTTTGAAATATGCCATCTGACAAAATTTTTTTCAAAAAATCTGAAAAGTAGCGTACTAAGGTTTTCGCGCACGCTGATTTCACTACACAACTTTTTATGAGTGTTTTCAGCTTTTTTGACGGTGTAATCACATTTCTGACTAATATTGAGAATTTGGATATTAGGGTTTACCTGGGATAACTTTAGAAAGAAGCATCATAGTAAAGTGTAAATTTCATATTTAAAATCAGCAACTTCCATTACCTGAGTATAAGAGTTTTTAGCTTGTTTGGTTTTGTTCCGAGGCAGAATATGGCTTCCAATGGCCTGAAATCCTTGTTAAAGTTTCTACAGTTATCCTACAGTAGTGAAGATCGGTCGGTGATTCGCTCAATACCGCATAACTAAGCTGAAGCCTCCTCTACAGAATGTTACTTAAATGGCGAAAAAAGACACAATGGGAAGAGAGATATTAACGATTGAAAAGTGTGTACTTACTTTTGGGACACCCTGTATTAGGATTCCGAAATTAATTTCGCTTTTTTCAAACGGACGCCACATGTGATAGAACAAAGATTTCTAAGAGATTTTGGCAGCATTCGATGCCGAATTCCAACCTCTTTCTAATGGTTATAAAATTATTGCAGCACAATCAACGAACTTTTGGAAAAATACGAAAGTCTGCAATCCATGCTTTTTGAGATGCTCAAGTTTCACATTTTTTCTAAACTCTTACATCAAGCCTCCGAAGGAGTCCAAGTGACGATTTGATAGAGCAAACCTCATGGGATATAGCGTAACTTTTTTCTCGCTTTTATAACTTGCAGTAATTTCTCAAAAGATCTATCATCAAAACCATCGAATTTTGACAGGCCTACCGTAGCCACATTCGCATCAAACATCGATAAATCATCGGAATTTGGAACTTCCGAGATGATATTATGATTTTGCACTAATTTTGCAAAGCGAATGAAAGTTTACGGAATGGAAATATCTAATTGCGATTTTTCCGGGTGCAGCCCGGAACGCGTTCGAAAATATGATTTATGATGATTTTATATGCGAAAACTCCACGAAGGCGAAACAAAAAGCATCCATTAGAAAGAGGAGAACAAGCTGAATCGAATGTCGAGCTGCTAAGCGTTTGATGTTCTACGATGTCTGAGTTGATCAAGAATGGAAATTGGTAGCATCAATCAAAATTCTATTAAAAAATTTTGAGAAGTTATGTGAAGGAGAAAAAAAATGGATTCTACCCTGTAGGGTTTGCTCTATCAAATCGTTACTTGGATTCCCTCGGAAGATCGATATACAAATTTAGAAAAATTGAGCATCTCAAAAAGCATGGATCGCAGACTTTCGTAATTTTCCAGAAACTCATTGACTGTCTGCAAAAATTTTATAACCGTTAGAAAGAGAATGAAATCTTGCATTGAATGCTACCAAGATCTTTTAGAAATCTTTGTTCTATCACATGCGTCCGTTTGAAAAAATCGAAATTACTTTCGGAATGACCTAATATATAAAGCAAAATATTTTCTTTCGATGTTACTAACCACTCTTCCCTACCGGAGAGCCTCAGGAGTGGTTTCAAATTTACATGTTACCCTGTATAAGGGTAGAGGCGAGACATAAACAATTATGGTAGAAATACTATTTATTTATCTCTTGCCTCTGTTGCCTGTTGCCTTGTTGTTGTTGTTTATTTGTTGCCTTTGTTGCCCATTTGTTGCCATACTGCCTCTTAAACTTTGAGGTGGAATGCCTTAGGCCCCGGGCAGACTTCCGCGATTTGATCGTCGCGACTGAATCGCGACGAGACAACTGTTACAGCATCATTCCATGCCGATCAACTTGCATTTCGGTTGTGATACTTTCCAGCGCGAAATTTCTGAATGTGAGATGAAAATGAATGGAAATGTCGGCGATTCAGTCGCGACGATCAAATCGCGTGAAGTCTGCCCGGAGCATTAGGCGCATCAGAGGATATCAGAATGCCGTCCTTTATTTGATATACTTTATAGGGCGAGTAACGAGCTTACGGAAGCTTGTGTTTGCCTGCACTTATCTTCACATACTTCATTAACAACAATCTCATAAAAGTTAAGACCAAAATGACCGTTATACAAACCTTCAAGAACTTTCTATTTGAACGGTAAAAAGTTTTGAAAGTGACGAGTGCATCTAACCATGTAGACTGGAAACTTTTGAAACACTTTATTCAACACTCATTATGGTACAAATACTCTGCCACTTTCGAGGTCAATCATGCAGCAAAGTAGTCCATCAAATGTATCACAGGAAGATGTTTGAGCTAAAAGCGATGGCGCCTATGGTGAGGCTTCGGACGATGTGGCTTGGGAAGATGGTGACGGATTGGCTTATGGTGAGGCGGCCTTGGCCTAGGATGATGGTGTCTAGGTTTTGCTTCCACTGAAAGCATATGGAGGTTTAGTCAGGCTAGGCCGATTCTGAAACTTACCAGAAGTGCTGCAGATGAACATTAACGCAAGGAGAGTTATCAAAAGAAATTTGAAGGACGCCATTATACTTACTGGAAGAGTCGAATTTGCACCAATCTGAAAGCTTAGAAGGCTTATATAGTAAGTTACCGTATGAAAAAGTTTTGGATTTGTCGAACACGGACACGTGTCAAGCGAAAGTTATGGTCAAATTCTGGTTCTAGCAGATGTTCGTGAAAACAATGAAAATCTAACTTGGTGACGTAATATAATGATGAGCGAAAGATGAGGAAGCAAAAAAGCGTGGAAGTTTCTGGGATGCAACCTTTGCCGCGTTTCGGTCGCTAACTTTATGTGAGAATTTAAAGAAAGGTTCAAACGACGACCGTGCCTCCAAAAACATTTCGAATATTAGATAATTATTGTACCTTTCACTTGCTGAAAAATCTCTCAAATCAGTGTAGTTTCTAGCTAAACTATCCTTTCTTGGAGATTTTACTTGTTGCAAAGGCGCAACTTCCTGGCCTCTAAAAGCTTGATTGCCAGCCGTCAGTACGCAGAGTTTAGGATTATTTCAGGCATATAGTCCTTCGGAGAGTTGATATGCCGTAGTTGTATGGAGAATTACTGGGTTGCTCTTATGAGAGGAAGGACGATTTTGGAATGTCGCCTTTTTTCAAAATATAACAACTGGCCATTTAGCACTCTAAAACATTTTCAGTGACTAGGAATCCTTTTCCCATTTGCAGAATAAACGAAAATTTTGCAAATATCGTAATGATATTGCCTTGCTCATCTTTTAAGCCCGTTATCCAACAGTCGGTCCCTATAAATTCTAGTTTGCTGCGAAAAGAGTTGCAGCGAGATGCAAGTTTGATAGCTCGCGCTTCTTGTGCGCAAACCGCAAAATTTGAGTGCAACAGCGGCTTTGAAATCGACACACTTCTCTCTCTTTTTGAGATTTGGACAACTTTCTTCGTTTAGTGGAAAATGGGCAGCAGGAAGAAAAATTGTTGAATTTTCTTTGTTGTGAAGATTTTCTTTTTTTTGGTAATTAGGCAAGCCTTGACATTCACACCGTATCTGAAAGCCTGAATTCTTCAAGTCTTTGCAAAAATATTTCGTAAAAATCAACAGTGGGGGAAACCCACGGCGTAAAATGAGACTTTCATAATCAACGGAAAATCCCTTCAAATCTAACACAACTTCTCCCAGCTGCATCGCAAAAGCTTAAGACATTTTAAGATTTGTATGTTCCAAAATTTGAAAATTTAGCCTTTTATAGCTTGACGAATTATAATCTTGAACTGAGCACCCAACTAAGCCGAAGGCTGCTCAGCTAAAACACATTTCATTTTGGAACCGATATCATGATGTAACGGATTTGGATAATGCCTTGTAAAGTTCTAGTACAAAGGAATCCATGCGCAAGACGATTGTCACATATCAGGAACTTCAGTCAACGTCCTTTTTTATCTTAGAGGTAATCCAGTAAAGAAAAATACCGCAATGATCTGTGATAACTCCAACAATTTCTTGTTTCGCCATCTTGATCGCTCATTGTTGATTAATCAGCCGAATTTTTGGAATGTAAACGAGTATCGTTATTAGAACCAGAATTTCACTACTCTTTTTTCATTAAATCTATCTTCAGTGGCAAATAAAACTTTTTGTCTAAAACAAGTGAAGTGATATATAGTGCAGTCAGCTCTGAGATTGTGTGAAAATTCGAGGCTTCATTTGAGGGTATGGCTTCCTTAAAACTTCTTCTGATAACTCTTCTTGCCTTGATGTTCATCTGCAGCACTTCTGGTGAGTTGTAGAAGTGGTTTATCCTCGACTCAACCTTCATCTACGTTTTGCAGTAGAAGCAAGGATCAAGCACCATCATCCTAGGCCAAGGCCGCCCCACCATAAACCGATCCATCACCATCCTCCCAAGCCAATCCATCGTCCGAAGCCTCACCATAGGCGCCATCGCTTTTAGCTCAAACATCTTCCTATGATATATTTGATGGACTACTTTGCTGCATGATTGACTTCGAAAGTGGCAGAGTATTTGTACCATAATGAGTGTTGAATAAAGTGTTTCAAAAGTTTCCAGTCTACATAGTTACATGCACTCGTCACTTTCAGAACTTTTTACCATTCAAATAGAAAGTTCTTGAAGGTTTGTATAACGGTCATTTTGGTCTTGACTTTTATGAGATTGTTGTTAATGAAGTAAGTGAAGATAAGTGCAGGCAAACACAAGCTTCCGTAAGCTCGTTACTCGCCCTATAAAGTATATCAAATAAAGGACGGCATTCTGATATCCTCTGATGCGCCTAATGCCCCGGGCAGACTTCACGCGATTTGAACGCGAATTCACGCGATCGTCGCGAATGAATCGCCGACATTTCCATTCATTTTCATCTCACATTCAAAAATTTCGGGTTGGAAAAGTATCACAACCGAAATGCAAGTTGATCGGCATGGAATGATGTTGTAACAGTTGTCTCGTCGCGATTCAGTCGCGACGATCAAATCGCGTGAAGCTGCCCGGGGCCTAAGGCATTCCACTTCAAAGTGGAAGAGGCAGGATGGCAACAAATGGGCAACAAAGGCAACAAATAAACAACAACAAGGCAACAGGTAACAGAGTCAACAGATAAATAAATAGTATTTCGACCATAATTGTTTATGTTTCGCCTCTACCCTTATACAGGGTAGCATGTAAATTTGGAACCATCCTGAGGCTCTCCGGTAGCCTCTAAGAAGGGCACAGATATCAAAAATGTTTGATTCTAATAGGAGGCCTCCGCTCGATTCCAACAGGATGTAGACCATTCTATTAGGTTGGAGCATAAATCTCGCACTAAAACACTAAAAACACATTCTCGGGAACAAAATACGCATAAAAGTATTTTTAATTGAAAAAAAGCGGTTAAGCGTTTCTTATGAAGGTATAACACAGCTGGACTAAAGGCACTGCTTTGACTTTCGACTATGTACATGCACTAAAGACTTTGGAAATCGAGAATCACTTTAGCAGACAGAAATTTTAGGTGGATCTATAGTTTTGGCCAACCTTCGAGCTTGCTTTTTTCGAAATTTTTGATTTTTTTCCTGAAGAATCCAACGAAAGCGGGATTGCTCCGGTCACTGATGGAAGCCTGTTGAACACACAGCGGTACCAAATCTCAGATCAATTCGTTGAGAAGCAGATAAACTACGGCAGTTTTTAGAGTGGATCTATGGTTTTGGCCAGCACTGTATCTACTACCTACAGCTCACATAGTGCTACGAACGGCAGGTCGGCTGTAGTAGATAAGCTTTCGAAGATATCCAGAAAGATTCTAGTGCCTTTTTAGCCGAGATCTCTTTCTCGCAGCTTAAAGGCAGCAGCTCGCCGAAATCCCGAACATCCCGAAATTTTGTCATGGAAGGTTGCTTGCACTCTAAACCTGAAAACAGAACAGATCCGCACAGCATGCTGCCCTTGCCTAGAAAACTGCCCCTAAACCAGTTACGCGCAAGCCATTCTAACATGCGCGGATGAGCTTGCGATCCTCCCTGACCTGTCAGAGAAGGCATGCCGCAATGTTATAACTGCGAGGGCCCCGCAACGACTCTACCTCTCTAACCGTGCTCCACGGGACGTGCTCCACTCGTCCAAATTCAAAATGAGAGGCCTTGGCAAATGGTGTTTTTTGCAAATTTCACGCTCTTCAAGGTGGATTTTCGGAATCAGCGCCTCGAATTACCCAGGTAAGCAAAAAAAACTTCAAGTCGAGAATCTGCCGAGCCGCTGCTTTTAAGAGTTTGCACTTGACTCTGAAATCTGCTCCATTAGCGCTTCATCATTATGTTTTTAATGGTGTTGCCAAGCTCTTGCGTTCATGCTTGCCAGATGTTCTTTTAAACGCTCAGTACCTCAGTTTCGCCGGTATATAACGCGCCGCATTCCATGCATTCGAGTTGATACTACATTCACTATTGTACTCCCCTCCTTTGTTTTACGGGCACACTATGCATTGTTCAGTTGCGCATTTCTAATGGTAAAGCCGATTTCGTACGGGCTGCTGTTCAATATTATCGTTCAATATGCTAACTAAAATGTCTTCGTTGAGCAGCTGTGCGCGAGCCATTGGTGAAAGGCTGCCGTGATCTTATCGGAGATGTTGCGAAAATGCGGTATAACCGTTTTGCATCCGACCTCCAAGGCTAACTGTCGTGCTTGCTGGCGTCCGTCCCGTCCTCATGACTTCAGCTATGTAACGGAGCTGCACCTGTGTCTAAGTCTTGAAAAAAAACACTGTTCAGGTCCATTCTATCATTCTATCAGTTTTCTGGACTACCAAATAGTAGTTTATCATAGCATAGAATATCAGCATTATTAGTCTGACCTAGACCTTGTCAGCATCAAAATTATCGAATTAATAAAATTGTAAAGATGAACCAAACTTTTGAAAGTGAAGTAACGTTTTCAAGCATTTCTTGCTGCGATTACAAAAGCTCCGGATCAAAAGCATTAGAAATTTTGCTTTGATTCATCTGGAGTGGTTGAGAACGAAGATAAATCTCGGTAGATTCTACCCTAAAATCCGTACAATAAGTCCGCCTATCAGATAGTCCGCCCTATCAGATAAGTCCGCAAAGGAACTAACAGCTAAGTCCGCTTTCTTGACAACGAAAGTCGCCCTCGGCCGCCAAGAGTCCTGCAGATAAGTCCGCTTTCTCATGCTCAGGATAGGCAAACTTATCTGCTGCGGACTTATCTGACAGTGGATTTAGGAGGACTTATCTGGTAGACTTTTGGCGGCGCAGAGGGCGTTTTTTCATCGATTTTTCGCGTCGAAACTGCAGATAAGTCCGGACTTATTGTACGGATTCTATTGTACTTTTGTTCGCTACCTTCTGGATTTTAACCATTGCAGGTTCACTATTGGTGACTGCTGTAGATCGTCAGTCTTCTTGGCAGGAGCATCCGGAGGTGTTTATGCTCTTCTAGCAGCACACATCGCCGAGTTGGTTATGAACTGGTCTGAGGTGAGACAATTCACTCAAATGTAACTTCCTGATTCACAAGTTTTTTAGATGGAGTTTAACTGGGCACGTGCTATAATACTCACAATCTTGATAGGATCGGATGCCGGTGTAGCCATTTTCCAGCGGCATTTCGTGGATAGGACGGACAAGGTGAGTTACAAGACTTGTGTCTACTTTGATGTATTTATTTTATCTGTAAACTTTCAGGTATCTTATGTCTCACATATCGGTGGTTTCGTCGCGGGCGTTCTCCTAGGCATCGTACTTCTCCGGAACTTCCGCCGACATCGATGGGAGGGTAATGTGTGGTGGACGGCCCTTGCCGTCTACACCTTCTTCGTTGCCGTCTGCATCGTTCTTATAATCGCTCCGGACTTCATAAAGTTTTGAGCAAATGCTCACTGGCTCTCGAAGAGCGAACTAGAATACGGGCGGATGAAGCTGTTCATGACTTTGTAAGCATGAGAAGTTCTCTAATACGTCAAATGATGATATGCTTAGACCTTCGCGAAATCTCGAATTGGGCAGCATCTGAAGTTGCACGTGCCGGAGTTGTGCTAGCGCTATGCTAACCTTACCAGCGCCACTCCAGCGCCATACCGATGCAAAGCCCGTATCGATCAATCCGGCGCTGGCGTGTTACTGGGACGGGGGTAGCGCGGTGCCGCGGCGCTGGCACGCGCAACTCTGGACACATTGGCTGTATTTCTACTTACTCTTGTCTAAACATATCTTGCAAGCATTATCCAGTGGCTGTTGTTGGTTCATATTTTTCACTTGACACGTTAATTATTACGTTCTATTTTGCAAAAGTCACAATATAATTAAAGACATCGTTACAACTTGGTGACAGGTATTCGCTATAAGCATAATGTGATTATCCGATTGCGACAGGCATCGCCTGTTTAATAAAAAATCTGACCAAAAACATGTGCTACTAGAATTCTTCCCGTCAGGCTATTCTGTGACGTAGTAGCAGGACCAACTCTTAGCTTCCTTCAAGCAGTCTTTCAAATTCAAGATTATGAGAACAGACAATGAGCAGCACTCAATTTTTTTTGCTGACAATCCGATCCTTTCTTCTGTACAGTCATTTTACGGTTTGTAGTCTGCTCCTGCAACCGAAAGAAGTGAAAATTGATAATCAGTTCAACTACGGGATAAGCAAATTCCCAAGAAAATGCATCCGCACACTAGGGTATCTGCAGTCAATTCCTAGAAGACAGCCTCTCAAAGCATTTCATGAGTATTCATGAATACAACGTATCTTACTAGAATGTGAGGGTGACGAGTAAAACTATTTGGCTAATGCATCCTCTAACTGTTTCGGTTTTTACTATTCGCTTGAACTGGTTGAATATACTCGACCAAAAAGAACTGTGCATCGACAGCGTTCTAATCTGCAGGGATGGGCATGGAGTACAAACCTTTCCGTTGCTTTTGTTTCACCTTGCTTTTGTTAAATAGGTTTTACAGTTGCAAACTTTGTCTGTATGTGCGCTAATATTGAAATTTCATCATGTAAGGCGATCAAGTTCTGCAATTTTGCCTCAAACATCCACGTTGTTCCTGAATTTGCGAAATCTATATATATATATATATATAAAACTCAATGTCTGTGAGGATGTTCGTTTAGTTGTTCGTTCGTTATAGAAACGCCAGCCGTTGAACCGATTGAGCTGAAACTTCGCACACATACCCTAAAATCCGTCATATAAGAGCGGACTTATCTGCAGTTTTGGCAGGAAAATCGATGGAAAAACGCCGCAAAGGGTGTCACAGATAAGTCCGCCTAAATCGTCTCGCAGATACGTCCGTCTGTCCTGAGCATGAGCAAGCGCGACCTAGGAGCACAGACGCGCGCGACCGCTCGCGTGGCTTGCCAGTGTAGATTTAAACGAGGCCGCGATATCGCCTGAAAGAAAGAGCCCAAGGATTCGACAAGTCGTACAGTCTACTTGGTGGTCGTTGCGGATTCTTCATCGCGTACGCTGGATAGGTGAGTTCTTTTCCTATATATGACACCTGTATGAAATTGAGCGATTTCTGCCGATGAAAAGAATTATAATAGGTTTCATCATTGCATCATTGCAATCATCTCAACTTATCATTCATCTTATCGTTTTGGAGGCGACAATGTTTTCACTACATCTCTCGAACCCGTACAGGCTACAACCCTTGAACCTGACTCCTACACTTTTGCTTCCTATATTGTTTTCATGTTCTGAATGTAGTCTCTGTTGAGCCATGCCATACGGCTTTTGTCAAATGCTTTCTTGAACGGAAGAGTGACAGTCTGAGAATGCTCAACCTTAGCAAAGCATTAGGCTTCCTTGTTATTTTCCTCAATTGTTGTTTCATTAAGCCTGTACATCCAAGACAAAAGATAGTGTAGTCAAATTTGATGCCGCCTGCTTTTCCTTGTATAAAAGAGTAAACCTTTCGATGACCAGCGCAAATTTATAGGACTCCGCGTGATTCCAGTGTGCAATGACCGCTAACTCAGCGAAGTTCACAATCACGCGGGGCCCTATATTTCCAGCATAGTCTCACATGCTTTGACTTAAGCTTTTCAGGTGTCTCGCATCTCAATGGCTATCAGAAGGAAGTCCTACACCGCGCTTTTTAAGCTTAACGTGGTGCAATATGCCTTGGAACATGGAACATCGGCTGCCGCTGTTCGCTACGAAGTCTCTGATGGTCTGGTTAGAAGATGGAAGGCCGATAAAGAAAATCTGGAGGATATGCCACTGAGGAGACGCGCCAACCGTCATGGGAAGCCAAAGGTGGAGGAAATAGAGGAAGCTCTCTATGCATGGATTGTGCAGACGCGAGAAGGAAGCCGAGCAGTGCTTGTCAAAGACATTCGCGAGAAGGCATTGCAGCTAGCGCGGGAATCTGGCCACCAGGACTTCAGGGCATCGGCGATGTGGTGCAAAGGCTTTATGAAGAGAAAGAACTTATCTCTGAGGCGAAGAAACCATTGCGAACAGTTTCACCAAGGCTCTCGATGACGAATCAATAATAGAAGGCATGAACGAGGATTTCGACGCTTTGATTGTTGCTGATAATAACGATAATGATGGTCGTTCTTTTGGTCAAGTTGTTGCCATGATTGTTTGTTATGAACATGGAATGCTACCTGAATAAAGATCTGTTGCTTCGGTTCATTCTGAGAGCAAAAAAGGCAGCGCAATTGCGCATCCTTCTTGTTTTCATGTGAAAAAAATAAGGCGGACTTATCCGCGGGACTTGGCGGCGCGCGAGGCGCGCGAGGCTATCACGAAAGCGGACTTAACTGAGAGCACTTTTGCGGTCTTATCGGCGAGGCGGTCTTTACTGCGAGCCGATCTTATATGACGGATTTTAGGGTATATTTTCGACCCCGGCGGTGGTTTATGGCTACTTTTTGAGGCGATTCAAGGGGTCCTCCTATTGATTTATTGATTTGTTTACTTAAATCTGGAAAATGAAAGTTAGACGTGCTCCAACCAATCATTTTCCAATAAACATGTGAGTAGAGGTAGTAAAGTTCATTCTGATCTCAAGGTCGACAGGATGCAGCGGGTTCGTTCCAAAGAGTTTTTTGCGCATTGTAGAAGTTAGAAAGTGTAAGTATGATCAGCTTCCAGATTCGTGTGGAGGCGGGCTGCGGATTTTACTGGTTTTAAGGAAAGCTCAACGAGAAAGTACGAAGTACAGTGCTACAACGTGGAGGTTCAACAAGTTTGTCCTGAAAATCAAGGAAGTGCGCAACCCTCCTCCACACAAATCTGGGAGCCGATGACATTTCGGTGGGTAGGGGAACGAACTGCGCCAGTTTGAGCCCGCCTTTGCTGGCAACTGGTCCTTTTATATTGTTGTTTGTGGTTGCAGAACCAGTAGCCCGCGGAGATGTTTCAAACTGGCGGATTTCGTTCCCCTACCCCATCTTGGTTGAACTAAAAGTCTCGGGCGAGACCGGGTCATCAGCTAGTCATAAAAATATTCAAAGGCTGATAATCTTGAATGTCTGGTTTATCGCTATGACATAAAATCGAATTTCAAGCTAGAAATTTATGTTGTACTTGAGGCCAAGATATACCTCTCGCATACTTCCCTCGATTCCGTAAAATCGCTACAACCGCGCGACTTGGCAATTTGCTAAATGTCTACGGATTAATCATGCGAGGGTATCATGTCAGATGCATAGGCGTGTAGCTTCTATGAACTGTTGCAAAAGCACCAAGTCTGGTCCAAAAAAAGCGGGCTTATGACCATTTAGGAAGAGTCGTTGTAGTGTTAGCGACTGACTTGGGTATGCCTTAGGCCTAACGGGCTTCCAAGCTCCCTTGAGCCGTGTGCAATATTTATGACTATATTTTATCAAGAAGAATCTCTCAATACTTACAGGGAATGCTCAGAAATCAAAGCGGCCAATCCAACGAAACGCATAGCATTAGATGCAGCATAAAACGCTGACTTCGAATCCTGTATTCCATATCTGCTCAACGCCTTTGTGGACGAAGTTGAGATGTTGAAGGCCTAATTGCTAAAAAAATCATGCAAACCGCAAATTTGGCAGTACAAAGCCATGTTTAGTTCAATGCTGTGCAACAATGTGCTCAACTTCGCAATTTTTATGCACGATTTTTCCGCAGTAAAACTGCTTTTAACTTCGTCCACATAGCCAAGCAGAAATGAAATGCGGGTTCGAAATCAGCGTTGAATGCTGCATCGAATGGTAGGTATCTTGCTTGGATTAGCCACATAGACTTACGACCATTCCTCTTGTTAACCAAATCAAACTGAGAACCACATCAACTCAGAAGAATAATATCTTCGATTTGGAGATTGAAACTGATGCTATGTGTAAATATGGAAACCGGAAATGGTTCTGAAATTGCAGTCAAGCACTTCTGCGGTAAATGTGCTTCGCTGCAAATCAAATTTTTCGGAAGATGGTCATGCAACAAAATTGTTTATAGATTGCGTCATAGGAGGATGCTTGAGCTACCAGCGATGGCGCCCGTGGTGAGGCTTCGGACGATGGATTGGCTTAGGAGGACGATGATGGAACGGCTTATGGTGGGGCGGCCTTGGTTTAGGATGATGGTGTTTGATCCTTGCTTCCACTGATGAAAGTAGATGAACATTCAGTTTATGGCAAACTCATTCTGAAACTTACCAGAAGTGCTGCAGATGAACATCAAAGCAAGAAGAGTTATCAGAAGAAACTTGAAGGACGCCATGATCCTTCAATGAAGCCTCAAATTCGCACACAATCTCACCGCTGGGTGACTTATATATCAAGTCAGTTGTTTTGGAAAAAATCTTGTTTGTCAAAGATGATATCTCAAACCAAAAATATATTGATAAAATTCCTAACAAAGATACTCGTTAAAACTCCA